CACATGTATGGCAGCTTTTCTTGCTATTCAGGCATGTCATTTTGCTTTCAGATGATCCAAACACTTCAGTTTCAGATATCTTTGGACTAACCCCGCACTGTAAACATATGATCAGGCTCCGCTCTTAAAGAAGTATCCTGCGAATCTTTCAGTCACAGCATACTCGTATTTCTTTGGGACCATGTTTATGGTGACATCTGCTTTTTTCATGACAAATGACTCGACAAACTGGAGTCTCACGAGATCTGAGTTCTTTGCAGTTGTCTACGCAGTAAATTCCTTGCCCCATATGTTTGTTGTATAGCCTTTGAGCCATTAGGTTTCTCCAAATGTGTAACTCCGCTGCTTCCTCTGTGCAGGGAGTTATCGCATCTGCTCTCAACTATGGTCTCTTGACGTGGTCAAATAAGATTTTGGGTCCTTCCTTGGTTGCTCTCTATAACCCTCTTCAACCTGCAGCCTCGGCTTTCTTGTCCAGAATCTTCCTTGGAAGCCCTATCTACTTGGGGAGGTTTAGAACTTTCTCTCCTTTTCTCTTGTCTGTTCAGCCATTGATGGTATGTGTCTGAAGCTTCCTAACTGACTCGGTTGTTTCTCCTTCTCTCTTAGTGTATTAGGCGGATGTGCAATCCTCGCAGGTCTTTACAGTGTCACCTGGGCTACTTACAAAGAAAAGAAAGCAGCAGCAGCAACGGGTATCATCCCAATCACCTCAAAGGAAGCTGAGCCCTTGATCTACAGGGACCATAAGAACAAACCAATAGGACATTTATTCACAAACACTCCCATCTCTTCACCAAAATCTGCTGATTGAACCAAAAGTCCAGCTTCTTGAAATAACTCAGGTCTGCTGCGATGTTTTCTTGATACCTTTTCGTGAACACGAGCAACTATTATCCATTTCAAACAGTATATATATGAGTATACACATCAATATTCGCATCCTTTGTGCACAACAGAATCTTGAGTATTAATCGGGTTCATCATCTAGTGCTAAAACACCTAGTGGGCTTTTAACTCATTCAAGAGTGTGTCATGGACTTCGATGCAAACCGCTTTCATCTGATAGAGAAGCCTAATGGCGTCAATATGAAACCTACTCTGCACACGCTATAACTTGCAGCCATAGCATTCCAACAGCTAAAATTTCTCGCACCCTCCATAGCCCTGAACACCTTTTCTGCATCTTTCACCTTTTCTGACCCATACTTCCCGTACATTTCAACTAGGAATCTACTTTTGTATCAAACCATTTTATTCAAACCCAAGCTTTATAGAACCCGCTTGCACTCACAGCCCAAATCAAGCATCATCACCAACTCAAGCGCAAGCCTTTAAGACACAAGAAAACACTGGTATCTTTTTACTTGAAGTCATCAACAAAAGAGATACAATTCAGAGAATTTAAGATCTTATAAATGATTTTATGGTTCTCTAGAATTTCTGGGAGACAAAACTCAAGGAATAGTGGAAAAAGGACGAATGGACATGTTAAGTAATGAAATAAACACAAACAGACAATTCTTCTTAGTCCTAAGATTACCATATGTAAAGTTAAGATCTCCTCTGGGCTTTCTACTATGATACCAGAACTCTGCAAGCAAAATGTTGTTTCATCTCATCATACCTCAGCATCACTGGATTCCGAATTTTCATCTTCTCTTCCAGACAGTTTTGAAATGAGGGAAGATGATTCATATGATACAGACTGTAAGAAGTTGAAATATGCATACTTAATGTCGAACTGCATATCATACCCTGCAAATTAGATGCATATGTAGTGTATTAGAAGCAGGAGAGTCGGAAAACAGTAGTGGTTCGCGAGTCCACCTGAAGACACACAGAGGATAGACGCAAAACTAGATTACTCTTACAATAGTTCACCGCAACTGTGTAGCCACCATTTCCTGGGGTTTGACTAACATGGTGAAACCACATGCTTGGCCTGCAATATTCAGACCAATTATGTGTCAAAATCTTGACTGTAAAATCCGTTTTGGTAATTCGATCACCCTTTTCTGATCTTTGTTTCTTATAAAGCAAAAGTAAGACTGAAGTAGATACATTAGTGATAAACTTAATAGACTTAAATGCGAAATTGAGGAAAATTTGTTCCGAGGATTCTCAATCTTTGAAGAAATGGGATTGAGATTCTTACAGGTAAAGAATCTCGCCAGCCTTGACAGTACAATGAAACGGCTTCGGGCCATTGAAGAACAACGGAAATTTCGATCTTTCGCTTGCTTCTTTCTCTGGTGAAGGGTATGGATCAACACTGCACCAGGGCACACTCCTCATGGGTTGTTCAAGCTCAAACTTGAACGCTTCACTGTCCTACAAAGATTCAAACTTTAACTCATTTCCAATGGAAATCAAAGTCATTGAAACTTATCTGAGAATCTCACGTACTCTGTGGTAAGAGTAATTGGCTGCTGGGTATTGCTGGACATAGAGGCGGTGTACGTCGGTTGGAGGGAGGAGGAGGAAATGTTTCTCCCCTGAAACGACGGCGTATAGGTTCTCATAGTGGTCTTTGTGAAAGGAAGTCACAGAGAGATCAGTGCCTATCCAAAGATTAACAGCTTCCGGCGAACAACCTAGCGCCTCCGTAGCCCACGCGATGTCGCCGTCGCAGTCTGAAGCAACCGTTGAATACTCCGTTCTGAAACAATCATTTTGCTGCTGTAAATACGCAACATTTTTCCCCTCAGACGACGATCGAACGGCCTGAAGAGCCTCCGGGAACGGAAGTTTCTCCACGTGAGCCGAAGCAAAACAGAGATCCCCGGTGGTGCTCCCGTCGTAGATCGGAGTGACGGCGTCGGCGCAGCCGTTAGGAGTGAGATGTAGCGAGACAAGATCATTTGACAGAGCTCCGGCGAGGTACACCGGATCCGACCAGAGTTTTAGCGCTGGCCAATGAGCGATTGCGTTGGAGATTACGCAAGGCTTGCTCTGGGAAACATAGTCTCTGATAAACTGTACCGGAGACGGCGGAGAATCAAGTCGATCGATTTCAGTTCCCAAGCTCAACTCTCTCACTTCTCTCCACAAATTATCTATCTCCTTCGCCGCCATGGACGATCGTTGAAATCCCTAATTTCTCACAAAAAATGGCGGGATAAATTTGGGGGTTTTTTATACATAAACCAAGAACCCTAATTTATGCGGTCTGATTAAAAAAAAAAAAAAAGTTTGTTATAAAATGGTATTTTGAAATAAATTTAAAGTCCTCGAGAAGAAGAAGATGAGTTGCTCTTATCTGTTTTCTAGCGACGCTTCCGTCGTCTCACGGCGGTGGAGTGATGTTTCTTTCCGGCAGCGTCTGTCTCTCCCACGGCAATTACTCCGGCATCCGTTTCCCTTGCTTTCACGATTCCCCCGATTAGTCACTGCTGCAAATGATAATTTCAGTAAACAATCTCTCGGGATAAGAAACTGCTTTCCGTCGCTGTTAATTGGAGAACTCGGCGGATGTGACGGTAACGGTGACAATGGAAATGGTGGCGGAGGAGACGGCGGTTGGTGGTTTAACGGCGATAACTCCGATGACTCTATTTTCCCTTCGAGAATTTTATGGTTTCTTTTATTGGTGTTGTCCTGCTTCTTCCATTTACAATTATCAGCTGCTTACGCCATAGCTAAAGCTCCGGAATCGAAGAGTAGCGGAGATACCGAGAAAGAGACGTTTTGGGAAGTGAGAGGAAGTAAAAGGAAGAGACTAGTTCCCGATTTTGTCAGGGATGAGTTTGTCCCGGAAGAATCTGCTTTCGAATTATCTTCTTCTTTGACTCCTGAGAATCTCTTGGCCCAATGTAGAAACCTTCTGACTCAATTCCTTCTCCCCGAAGGTTTTCCAGATAGCGTCACCTCCGATTATCTTGACTACTCTCTCTGGAGAGGCGTTCAAGGGATTGCTAGCCAAATCAGCGGCGTTCTTGCCACTCAGGTAGATGACTGAGTTGTGTTCGCAGTTTATTATCTCTCTTAGGCATTTCCACGAGCACCTGTTGTTCAGTTTTTTGTGGGGTTTTTTTGGTAGTCTTTGCTTTATGCAGTTGGCTTGGGTAAGGGAGCAATTCCTACAGCTGCAGCCATTAATTGGGTTCTTAAAGATGGAATTGGGTATCTCAGTAAGATAATGTTATCGAAATATGGACGCCATTTCGACGTTCATCCCAAAGGATGGAGGCTATTTGCTGATCTCCTTGAAAACGCTGCTTTCGGTATGGAGATGCTGACGCCGCTCTTCCCTCAGTTCTTCGTTGCGAT